ACACTTGAGAAAGTGCTCAACATCTTTAGCCATTAGGGAAATGCAAATCAAAACAACTATGAGATACCATCTCACTCCTGTCAGAATGGCTAAAATAAAAAAACACTAATGACAGTTTATGCTAGAGAGGATGTAGAGAAAGGGGAACACTCCTCCACTGCTGGTGGGAGTGCAAACTTGTGCAGCCACTTTGGAGATCAGTATGGAGATTCCTCAGGAAAATGGAAATCAGTCTACCATAAAATCCAGCAATTCCATCTTAGGTATATACCCAAAAGCTGTACCCTCATACAATAAAGACATCTGCTCAACTATGTTCATAGCAGCATTATTTGTAATTGCCCAAACCTAGAAAGAACCTAGATGCCCCTCAACTGAAGAATGGATAGAGAAAATGTGGTATATTTACACAATGGAGTACTATTCAGCAGGAAAAAAAAATTGGAATCTTGAAATTTACAGGCAAATGGATGGCACTGGAAGAAACCATCCTGAGTGAGGTAACCCAGTCACAAAAAGACAAGCATGGTATGCACTCACTCATACATGGATTTTAGACATGGAGCAGGGCATTGCCAGCCTACAACCCCACAGCCAGAGAGTCTAGGGTACAGGGAGGACCCTAAGAGAGATATGCATGGTAATCCGGAGAAGGGTTAGGGGATGCGATCTCCTAATTGGATTGGGAGGGGGGAGAAGGGGAAGGTAGAAGGAGATGAGAGAAAGAGAGGGGGAAAAGAGGAGGGGAGAGGAGGACATGGGAGAGCAGGAAGGTTGAGCCAGGGTAAGGATAGAGGAGAAAAGGATGGGAGATACCAGAAAAGAGGGAGCCATTATAAGTTGGAGGAGAGATCTGGCACTAGTGAGATCTTCACAGGTCTACAAGAATGACACCAACTGGCATTAAGGCTACCTTAAACGCCCTCCCATGATAATGAGAATGATGACTACCTTATATGCCATCCTAGAACTCTCATCCAGTGGCTGATGGAGGCAGAGGCAGACACCCACAGCTGTGAACCGAATTGAACTCCAGTTGCAAAGAAGAAGGATGACCAAAGGAATCAAGATCGTGCTGGCAAACCCACAGAGGCAGCTGACCTAAACAAGGGGGAACACATGGACCCCAGACTGATGACTGAGGGGCCAGCATGGGACTGATCTAGACACCCTCCCACCGAACCTGGGTGACAGAGAGGAGGCCTTAGCAAACTGTGGGACCTGGAAGAGTGGAGCAGTATTTATTCCTGGCATACAGAAGGGACTCTGGGAACCCATACCATGTGGATGGATGCTCTCTCAGCCTGGACACATGGGGAAGAACCTGGGCCCTTCCTGGGATGATATGACAGACTCTGAAAATCCCTCATGGAGGCTCTTGCCCTCCCTGAGGAGCGGGGGTGGGGGGGGTAGAGTGGGGGTGATGGGTTGGGAGGATTGGGGGAGGAGGGGAGGGAGAGAGAACTGAAAGTGACATGTGTAAAAAGCTAAATAAAAAATATATGGAAAAAACAAAAAAAGAAAACAAAAGTTAATGAAATGATTAGGTGAATATTCTTTATGAAGCATAGATCAGTTAGTTACTGACTAACAAAGAGACAGAGAGACAGAGACAGAGTGAACAAAACCCAACCCACTGCCCAGATCAAGATATGTTTATTATATTCAGAAATTCACATTATGAGTACTAGTCAGACACTGCAAAGAATTTCAGAAGTACTAAACTGAGAAGTAAATGGCGTACTAGAAGAACCTTCTACTCCTTAGTTGAGCTGACACCCAGAGAAAGAGCAGCAGAGGGCGGGAGCATACCAAAGAGTCCTCCTGGCCTTAGCACAAGGGCATTTCAGAAACTTGCAACAGTCTGGCACCATAGTTATCTGGGTAGTTCCTGAGAACTGCACACTTCTATTTCTGAAGATCCAATGCCAAAAAAGTTCTGGGGTTTAAGGCTAGTGACAAGTGGCAGCTCATTTCTTCCTGTCTCTAACATCAAGATCACACATGTGGATAGCACAGAAGGCATGGGTGCAATGAATTCAGTTACCAGGAAAATAAATGAGGAGTGCTCTTCATTTAGCCCCACATTTTATTTTTTATTTTTAATGGCTTTGATAAGGAACTCACTGAAAGCCACTAAAAGGAACTGCAAATGTAACAGACGGTATTAACTCTGAGGGAGGAGAACAGCTGGCCTGTGAGAGGCTCTAGCCTGGACTTCTCAGTCCTTCCTCCATGAGCTGCTTTCTACATGCATAAGCAGGTCACCTAAGAGCTGTCTTTCTGAGTCTCAAACTGCAATACTATGAAGAATCTAAACGTCCTTTGGCCCTCTACCATTTCACCCAGCTCCATTTAAACTCAAGTCCTTGTGGCTCATCCTGTCTCTTAGTAAGCATGTCAACACAGTGGAACACATATTTTCACGTAACACTTGTTTCTTCTTCCTGTATATAAAATTCGGCATTTCAGGTCTCCAGTGGTAGAGTGAGGGATGAACAGACATGCTACCATGGTGGTAAGGCTGAAGTCGCTCTGTCATGCCTAGGTACCCATGATCCTCCTGGGTTACTAAACTTAGACACACTGGTGCAAAAAAGAAGCATCTACTTACTGTGCTTCCTCAGAAGATTCTTGTTTTATTTTTAATGTTCTCTTTGAAACTGGCATTTCATCTAAAAAACAAAGAATTTTGAAACAAATTATAGTTTCATGAGTGGTGGCATACATTTAAGTGAATAAGTAGCTCTATTTACTTCCCTGTACCTGGCTTAAAAATATAACTTTATATAATGAGATGCGAACATTTATATGCAAGATCAGAAACCAGGCTCCCCAAGTATAAAATTCTTCAAGGTCACCAGTGGATTTCAAGCAAGGAGCTTAAAGCTTAATTTCACTGCAAACATGATTTTAAAAGAACAAGAATGAAAATTCTTCTGCTCTATTTAGGTTTTCTACGTAGGTTTTATAGTGCAAGTAATTATTCTCCAAATATGAGGATCAGCATATTCTGCATGTTATTTGTTTCCCAAGGTCTGGGCGATTTAACTCTTTACAGCAAACAGGGTTAGCAGACACTGCAGTCTACGCCTTACTAATCTCATCAGATTGAAAGGCGAGGCCATTTAGCATCTATTCTTATTCTTCCCATCTTCATTTTCTTACATATGGCTGATAATCTTAACAATTTGAAAGTCTCTTTTTTTAAAGGTTTATTTATTAATTAATTTTTACATTCCAATGCCAGTTCCCCCTCCCTCCTCTCCTCCCACCGCTCCATTCCCCGCCCCCCCCCCTTACCCATTTTCCTCTTTGGAGAGGGTAAGGCCTCCCCTAGGAAGTCTACTAAGTCTGTCCCATCATTTCATTGAAGCAGGACCAAGGCACCTCTCCACCCCGCACCCCTGTGTCTAGGCTGGGCAAGGTATCTCTCCATACAGAATGGGCTCCTCTAAGTCAGTTTGTGCATTAGAGTTAGATCTTAGACCCACTGCCAGTGGTCTCATATATTGTCCCAGTAACAACATTGTCACCTATATTAAGGGCGTCTAGTTCAGTCTTATGCAGGTTCCCCATTTGTCAGACTGGAGTTAGTGATCTTTCATTATCTCAAGTCAGCTGAATCTGTGGGTTGCCCCATCATAGTCTTGATTCCTTTGTTCATATTATCACTTCTCCCTCACTTCCATTGTACTTCAGGAGCGTGGCCCATTGGTTAGCTGTGGATTTCTGCATCTGCTTCCATCTGTTTCTGGAAGAGGGTTCTAGCCTCTCTGGGGTTGTGGATTGTAGACTGGGTATCTTTTGCTTTATGTCTGATATCCACTTATGAGTGAGTATATACTATATTTGTCTTTTTGGCTTTGGGTTACCTCATTCAGGATATTTTTTCTAGTTCTGTCCATCTGCCTGCAAAGGGCCTAGGTCCTGCCAGGGATGATATAACAGGCTTTGAAAATCCCCCATGGAAGGCCTTACCCTTCCTGGGGAGTGGAGGGGGGATGAAGTACGATATTGGGGGAATTGGGGAGAGGGGAGAGAGAGGGAGATGGGAGTAGCATGTGTAAAAAGTTAAATAAAAAATTATTATCAAAAAAAAAAAAAACAATGGCATCCTAAAAGTTGAGAGCCTCTTTCCTTTTCCCTTCCAATATTTGGGAGAAGTTATAACAGTAATCATAGAAAATATGTTAACAGTCTACCCTTTTTCTTTATTTCTCTGTCACTAGGCAAGATTTCTCTAATTTTTTCCTTAAGGAAGGGAAACAAATTTATACAGCCAATCCTGCCTGCATCTTCTCAGGGGTCACCTGAGCACCTCACGAGAGGGAAGGGCATTTATTCCTAACATACTCATGAACTTGCTGCTGATGTACACAGTATATAGCTAAAACCTGACCAGTACTTCCCAAGTAAGAAAGTCAAAACTGGAATGTCTGACATACAGAGATGCAAGCAAACAAAAACTATGAGTACCCTCTTAATTAAGCCACTCAAATGTAGAGTTAAGTAGCTGGACCAAGAGTCAGTACTCTTGGCAGAAATCTTAGTGCTAGAAAGAGCAGGGTATTTTGAGTTGCATAAGACTCTGTCAGTGAACGTCCTTGTATGACTCAGATTAGGAATTGTTCTACCTATAGAGAGGTTAGTGGTACCCCACTCACCAAGTACTACTTGGCAATTGGATGCTAAACCCAGGATGGCCATGTTGGTTCAAAGAGTTCAGCAATATGCCTGTGCTGAAAGCACTAGAAGCTATCACAGATGGTAAATACCAGTGCACATACCAAGAACACACACACAGAAAAAAAGCACATATATTGGTTTTCTTACCCAATTCCTGATCTGTTGGATAGCCATGGAGATCCTGACTGTGGTTTCCCCAGTCCTCCTGTGAATAGTCCTCCATAGTGCTGCCATCTGACTCCAGCTCCTGGTACAAGCCACTACTGTTAATAAGTACAGGCTGGCAGGGCTGAGCATCCCATCCTCCCTGACCAAACACCTGTTCCAACTGTTCAAATGTGTAACTGCTCTTTCTTTTCCCAACACCATGTTCTTTCACCCGACTGTAACACCTGCGAAGGGTCTAAGACACAAAGTCTTTTGTTATTCCTTTAAAGCTGTACTTCCTCCTCCAGATACGGACCACAGATATTAATTACTATCAGACAGACACAGACAAACAAACACAGACACATCATTACAGGAATGCTAGATTTCAAATTCATTATTATATTAGAACAATACTAATTTAGCATTTACTCAAACATGTTATAATTCAAACAATTATTTTGCAATTATCAATTAAAACAACAAGAAACATTACAACATTATTGCATGTACCCCAGACACATATTTTATGCCCCCTCCCCCATTTAAAAAAGGGTAAGGGGGAGGAAAAAAAAGAAATACCAGCCAGCCAATAGGATGCACACCTGCCACAGGAGAGAGAGCTGCTATGGTGCCCAGAATTGGAAAACGTGAGGGAAGGAGGACAGAAAGAAGAATTTCCCCAAGTGAAGAAAAACTTCCTTACCCTTGGCTAAGGAGTACAGGGGAAACCAGTTACCTAGACAAAGTAGCTAACAAAACGGAACCCTTACAGGGTCTGTGTTCTTCATTAATTCACTTTGTCATGGTAAAACTTCTACAGTTTAAGCAGACAGCAACTCAATAATGTCCTAAGTCCCTGTCCCCAATATCAGACACAATAACTACGAAGTAGTACATTAATACCTACATTTTACTCGTCTGCCAACAGAAACTGCCAACTAAACAAATCAACAGTCTTTCTTACCCTTCCTCTGTCACTAGACACACAGCAAATAAATACCATTATATAAGACAAAACCTGGGTAACATCATTGCCTTGTTCAACTCTTTTTACAGTCTTTGTTTCTATTACATATTTCAAACTAGCCCAGTTTCCCAAATTTAATGGTACACACCTCATGCTATCTTACTTAATACATCAAAAGATAAATCAAGGACTTTGTCTCAGCTTAAATCTCCAATAACATTCAGGCTTATGTTTCTCTGCCTCCCTTTCTTCCTTCTAATCACTCTTCTATTTTATGGGGTTTCACTAGGAATTTTGAGAGATAAAACCCTCTTTCCCTGGTGGCTCCTAAACATTCTCTAACTTAACCGCTAAAACTAGTTTATCTCTAACTTACTGTATAAGCATTATCAAGACAGAGAGATTACATTCCATAAGCCAATACATGACCAAGTCTGGGTCTTTAGAGCATCTCCATGAGAGTGCAGTACCTTTAAACTAAAGCTGGCAGACAATCTACAAGACACTTTCACAAAGACTTTTTAAATCTGTCCCTTGAGGCCAGAAATCCAAATAGCCAAAAAGAGTAATAAAAGCATGAGACATGATCGTCTCCCTCAGACACAGTCACCCACCCTGAAGCCTTGGCCGCCCCAAAAAAGCATCTCCCTTCCATAGCATCTCTCTTACTACCTCAAATGATACCTTACAGAGAACCAAGGCTTCCCATAAACTCTTTAAAAATCATCTCAGCTTTCTTTTTGCAACAGAGAATCATGACCCCATAGGCAAAACTTTCTAGAATCCAGAAACGTAAACTTGGAAAATGTGTGTCATGGTCAAATCTCCCAATGGAAAGAGACAAGCACTGCAAATCTCACTTGACTTTGCACAAACTCCCCTTTCCCAGCACCCTCTGCCCTCCTCAGAGATCGGAATTTGAATTGCAAACAGCCCCTGACAATTTATTTTTATCTTACAATGTCTAGTTTCTGCCTCCAAGAACACCCAACCACTCTTGATTCCTAACAACTGTAAATAGAGAGTCCCAATCCTGTCCCTTTCCCCCTTCTGAGACCATAAATGGAGATGGAAAGCGTACCCTTCTCTCACTACTTATTGGCTGCCTACAGAATAGCATTCAGAACACCAAAGTCAGTCAACTGGCTCTGTCTCCAGGGTTACACCAGAAGCCAAGGAAAAAAATTAATGTTTCCTTTCCAAAAAGGTGTCATACTTATGAGGAAGTGATAGGCACAAGCAAATCTACCGATTTCTTTCTATATTTGTAAACATTTATTCTCTGGATCAAAAATAAATTCACAAAATTTTGATAATATACATGGGGAGGAACCAGAGAAAAGACATTGTTCAAAGCCACCAAACTGAGCTTATAATTTCTTTTGGTTATGTAATTGTGAGTAATGAAATCAGCATCTCTGACAACTAAGCACACCTCCTAGTTGTAGTACATACCTGTAACACATATTTACAATGTGCCGATGTACTGAAATGACATTAAAAAGATTTCCAAATCAGTGTTCTCTCCTTCAAGATACAAATACAGGTAAGCAGTACCTTGTAAATCTAACAAACACCAAAAACTCAAGGACAGTCTGTTTAAACAGGGCACATCCATTAAGATGGTGGGGGTGGAGCATTGAGGTGCACGATTCACACACCCGCTTAACTGCTACCCTAGGACCCACTAGAATTCACTTGAGAGCTTAGACATAGATAAAAAAGGACATTTGGAGACCTTCCAATTCTTACCACCCACTGAAAAGATTATACAATACATTATCCTCTAAATGCTTAATCAAAGCATATAATTAAAAGACTGGGTGGCTGCATCAACAATCCTAAATAAATCAACTAAAATCTTCTCTAAATCAGGCATCATGATTCTCCAGAGTCCAAGAAAATGAGGCTGCAGCTCCCATTTGAGTCAACTACCAAATCCAACAAGATACACCAATTGGCTTTCTTGGTGAGTCACGGTCTACTTAACATGACATAATCTTGCTTCATTTACCTCACCCGTCTCAGAAATGTATAGCAATTTAATCTCTAACTGGAAAAACTTAAAACTACTAAAGGCTATTCTGTGAAATGACAATAGTCAACCTCTTTACTATGAGAAATATCTCTGGTAAGCTGATTGCACACTTTACTCTCCTCCCTGGAGGAAGGGCTGTAAGACTATACTATCCACCCAGACAGAGGTCATGAGGAGTCGAGGAAATCTAAACAGAACTAAATAGGGTAACTTCAGGGGGCCACACCAGAGTTGTTCCCAGTACCTGATTCAGAAACGCCAAGTGAATGAATGCTTATCAATCCACCATATCAAGTGCCTGGATTTCAGGACTACAAATGGAAAAGAACCAGAGAAAAGGCTTGAGGGTTGGGTGCTCCATTACCAAAGCAAGGGGAAAAGCTGGCTGACAGCTGACAATGTACAGGACAGAGGGAAAGTCTTGCCAGAGTTTAAGATTAAAAGAAAATCAGAGAATAAAAAGATGACATTCATTGTGGATGAATGTATGAGGAGTCTACGGGGAGGGAGGCAGGTAAACAAAGGCAGGAGTTTTAGATTGGCAGGATTGAGGGTTTGACGGCAGCAATGCAGAGAAAGACCCAGGGTTACAGTACACGTAACATTAAATACAGTGCACAATGCAGCTATCTTGCCAAAGTAAGTAAATCCAGTATTGGGTTGTATAAGCAGAGGAATCACATGTAAGCTATGAAGGTGGCTCTTCCTCTCTATTCAGCACCGGTGAGGCCACAGCTGGAGCACAGCATTCAGGTCTGGGCATCGAACCAGCTACAAGAGAGGGAAATTGTAGAGTTCAGAAAAGGGCAAATTAAATAATGAAAGGCTTGGAAAATAAGATCTACAAGCAGGGCCAGTGGTTTCAAAGCCCTTCCTGACATTATCAAGTTACTCAGGGTGAGACTGAGGTTTTCCACTTCAGTGTCCTCTAATCTCTGCTTGCATTCACAAGTGGGAAAAGCTAGTTCCTCCCTGGTTTGGGAACACAGGAGGAGAACTAGATAGCTCATACAGGCATAGGCCAAGGATTCTGCTACTGGCTCCGTACTTTTCCCACTTCATATAGTAAAATAGTCACCATGACAAAAACCACTGTTCTAACAGAGCTGAGAGCGAGTGGAACAGAGCATACAGTAAGGAGGAGCAGAAATAAGTCATAATAGCCGTATAAACATGCTGTTTAGAAAACACTGGCTTCATTGGGCTAAGATGTCAGATGAAAAATAAAGTGAACCTGCAGGGAGGACAGCTTAGTTATAATAGCAGGAAACAATGTTATAAGAAAAAACAAACAATACACAGCTTTTCAAATGTAGTTGTCAAACTGGCCATAAAAGCATACCCAAATGGCCAACTAAACATGACAAACCCAAAATTCTCACTCACACGATCAAAATGTGTAAGTGTCAGAATAACACTTCAAACTGAGCATGGCAGTTCACATCTATCCCAGCGTGCAAAGCAGAAAGACTGCTGCAAGTTCAAGGCCTGCCTGGCATACAGTGAGACCATGTCTGTGGAAACAACCCCATCAAACAAATACCTCCAGCTAAGGTAAATGAGTAGTCTCTGTAAAACAGAACTGTTTTCTCTAAACTCCTATTACAATTACTACTAGTGACCCCTACAGCAATGAAACACCAAGTTTAATAAAAACTCAAAAAGGTCTAAGGACACAGCTCAGTGGAATACTTGCTTAGCACATATAAGGCCCTGAGTTCAATCCTAAGAAACACACTCACACATTCTCATTCATTCATTCATTCATTCATTCATTCTCTCTCTCTCTCTCTCTCTCTCTCTCTCTCTCTCTCTCTCTCTCTCTCTCTCTCTCTCTCTCTCATATGGGGGCTGGGGGGTGTAACTCAGTTGGCAGAGTGCTTGCCTAACATGCTAACAGTAGGTGACATATGCTTGTAATCTCAACACTGGGAGTCAGAGGTAGGAGGATCTCTGTAAATTCCAGGCCAGCCCCCAAGACAGAACTAAATAGAGCAATCTGTCTCAAAAAAGAATGGGAAAAAAAAAACAAAACAAAAACAAAAGCATAAATTTACAATCATATCTTTTGACATACAATTGCAAATTTTGGGTAGAAAGTACCTAAAACAAATCTTAGTACATTAATATCTAGCAAACTGACTTCCTAACTGACTAAATTCTTTAAAAACAAACAAACAAACAAACAAACAAGCTGGGCAGTGGTGTGCATCTTTAATCCCAGCACTCAGGAAGCAGAGACAGGCAGATCTCTGTGAGTTCAAGGCCAACATGGTCTACAGAGCGAATTCCAGGACAGCTAGGGCTGTTACAAAAGAGAAACCCTGTCTCAAAACAAAACAACCAATCAAACAAACCAAACAAACAAACAAAAACAAGAACTAAGAAAATAATATAGGAAATTTGTGTCACCCCATCCCCCCCTTCTATAGAAAAGTTTTGGCAAGTAAAAACCTTCTAATTCTAAACCTTTTGCTTTCCCTATTTTTTGTCCAGGAGAAATTTCTTAGCCTGGCAGATCATGGATACCCTCCTGAAGAAAATGAATATCACAAAACTTCACTCGATCTCCCAGGAGCCCACACATCTCTGGTTCAAAGCTGCTGTGCTACACACAGCACACAGGCTGTTCTTCCATAAAGAACATAGTGTGTACTGGGAAGTCTGAGGTAAGTAGACTTAATCTGCCTGACAGGCTTCCGGAGAGATTCTAAAGGCTGGCACAACCAGGGTCAGCAAGAGGGAACCAGCAAACATGGTGACCTGAGTGTAATCCTCTCAGAGCCAAAGTCTCGCTATGTTGTCAAGGCTGGACCCAAAGTCAAGAGATCTCCCCACTTCAACGTCTTACAAACTGGAGCCAAAGGCATGCTATGCAGCACCCAGATTTCCTGGTTTTTTTTTTTAAGAAAATTTCAGTAAAACTCACAATAAACAAACAAGTAAATAAAAACAAGAGAGGACAGTGTCTGATTCAGAAAAAAAGTCACGTATTGCTTGGTTTCTCAATTCATTTTAATAAATTATTTAAGTAAAAAAAATTTATCCTAAATGTGGTGGAGCATACTTGTAATCCTAGCACTGTAGAGGCAGGAGAATAAAAAAATTCTGGGCTATCCTTGGCTATATAACCAAACTTTATCACAATAACAAAAAGAATATACAAAGATCTCATGTCACTTTTTTTAAGGCACTTTTTTCTATGTAATAAGCAACAATTTTTTTCTGACGTGGCAATATAAGCAATATTTCAAAATTCATTCTGGAAATACAAGTCGGCCTAGGTTACCCAAGACCCCATCTCAAAACAAAACTAAAGAACTCCAACAAAACTGGCAGGTACTATGGAAAAGCTTGGCAAACGCTGTATATGCCAGACTGGGAATGGCCCCTCGGGCATGTTAGGAAAGCACTTAGAACAGAGCCTACCTTGGAAGGGAACGTTAAACAGGGTGGGCATCTGTACAGGCTGGTGCTCCAGGAAAAGCATTCCTTCAAAGCTGCTGTCACAATCTTTTTCCAGGTGCTTGTTCTCGCAATACTTCTCACTGGGGGCTCTGACTCCAGTGGTATTCAGGTAACATTAAAACTGTCATTAATTTACTAATAGGTGATAATGAGGGGGAAGCACACTCCCAAAAGTACTTCTAGCACAGCAGAGGGAAACATTCCTCTCCTTGTAAGTCTCTATAGAGACTGAAGAAATAGCTCAGTAGTTAGGAACCAGAGTTCCATTTTCAGCATCTAGACCAGGAAGTTCACAATAACCTGTAACTCCAGCTTCAGGGGATCAGACACCCATCTGACCTCCTCAGACACATACACATAAGTAAACAATAACAAAATACTCAAAATGTAAGTCCGCATACAAGCACTTCATATGAAGCAACAATTCCGCAATCATGCCCCCAAACTAAGGCCACTACCCTAACAACAAAACCCCAAAGAACCAGAAAAATCCTGACCAGCTTGTATTGTAGTAACATTACCTTGCTGCTGAAATTCAAAAGAAGCCTCTACTCAAAATTTAAAAGTGAAGCCACTGACTGGGTCAATGAGAAGGCTGGGCAGGTAAAGATGCTTGCTGAACGGGCCTGACCAGCCACCTGAGTTTGATCCTCAGAACCCATATAAAGAATAGGAAGAAGCAATTGCACAAAGCTGTACTCTGACACCCACATGCACATTGTGGGGCACACCCAATAATGCTTTTTAAAAAATGAACCTGAATAGTAGGCCACTTAATCACTTTCATATGCTATCCATGTGATTATCTCATTTTGTACTTGTTTTTCTTTCTCTTTCCTCCTTCCTTCCTTTCTTTTCCTTTGAGACCATAGTCCTGGCTATCCTGGAACTCCTTCTACAGATCAGGCTGGCCTCTGCCTCCTAAGTGCTGGAATTAAAGATATGTGCCACCACTACTACCAACTGTACTTGTTTTCTTACTGGAAACTACATCTAACAAACAAAGACAACCTACAGTGTTTCCATTAGTAAGTTTATGTATTTATGAAATCAACCCTGACATGCATAAAAGCTCATCTAAAAACTTAAGGCACTAGACCCCTCCAACAAGACATCAGTCCCATGGTTGGAGAGATAGCTCAACAGTTAAGAGCACTGGATGATGTTGTAAAGAATCCAAATTCAATTCCTGGCCCCCCACATAGTGGTTCTCTGCTGACTCTAATTCTAGTCCCAGAAGACCTGATGTCCTCTTCTGATCTCTGAAGGCAACCAGCATGAACATGATGCAAACATACATTTAGGCAAACATGAACACACAATTTAAAGGAAGAAAAACAAAAGACTTCTAGGCCTAAACATTAAATCAAGATTTAACCAATTCTAAAAATGGGTGGGGTTTTTTTGCATTTATACAGTATAAACTATAAACCATAACTGAATGAGGGGAAGAGATCTCTTACCATTTCTATGAAAACTTAATAGAAAAGCAAGTTATAAGTTTACTCTAAGTTTCTGCCTTGGGGCAACCTAACTTTATTTAGAAAGCTGGAAGAAATTTAATGATCACCACAGGACAGGGTGGGTACACCCCTGTAATCCCAGCACTGGGGAGTGGAGGCAGAAGCATCATTCACTCAAGGTCATCTTCAGTTGCACAGTAAGTTTCAAACCAGCCTGAGCTACATAAGATCCCATCTCATGGGGGGAAAAAAAGGGAAAAGAAAAAATTGTATTGTTAGACAGTTTTGTCTGGAACAGAAATTATAGTGTACTTACCCAAACCTAATAGGCATGGGTCTATCATTGCACATGAGGGGGCATTCTTACAGTAATGACTAAGTTAATACACTATACAATGATTGTGAAGCACACACCTAAACTACCAGTAGCACACACACTATCATATTCAAGTATTATGCACTGTCCATACTTAAATGTGGGACTATGTGATATCTTTTTTGTTGTTCTTGTTTTGTTTTGTAAGACAGTCTCACTCTGTAACTCAGACTATCCTGAAATGCACAGAAATCCTCCTGTATCAGACTCCCCTGTTTATTACTTTTTGTCAACTTGACACAGTTAATATCTGACAAGAGGCAACCTAAACCGAAAAACATGTTTCTATCAGGCTGGCCTTGTGGGCATGCCTATGGGGCAGTTTCTTGATTGATGTGGGAAGGCTCAGTCCACTATGGTCAGCGCCACACCCAGGCAGGTGGTCCTGGATGGTATAATAAAGTAAGCTGACCAAGTCAAAGGAACAAGCCAGTAAGCAGTGTTCCTCCATGGTCTCTGCTTCA